TGACAGGTGGGTTAGTGTACTATTATTTCAGTTTGACTATTTTAGGGGAATAGGTAAATAGAAAGCAAAGGTAGTTTATTGTTGTTTTAAGAGAAACTGTAGCATTTTGGGATGAGGATATGGAACATCCAGTGCTGGAGAGAGAGGTCACTTGAGGCATGTGCTAGACAGCTTTATGTCACAGTGACCAAAATACCTGACAAGAACAGTTTAGAGAAGGAAAAATTTATTTTGGCTCACAGTTTCAGAGGATTCAGTCCATGTTCAGCTAGCTCCATTGATTTGTGCCTGAGGTGAGATAGAACATGGCAGAATATGCGTGAGGGCATGACAGAGGAAAAGTCCCCAACTCATGGCACCCAGGAAGCAGAAAGAGAGTAAGAGAGGCTGGGAAGAAGATAAATGCTTCTAAAGCATGCCTCCAGTGACCTACTTCCTCCAGCCTAGATCCCACCTCTCAGTAGTCTATTCAGCTGTCAGTGGATTGACCCATTTGATGGTGAGAGCCCTTATGATCCAATCATTGCCTGAAAGCCCTGCCTCTGAACCTTGCTTCATTGGGGACCATGCTTTCAACTGGACTTTGGGGGTCATCCCAGATCCAAACCATAGCAAGACACTTGAGGATAAGGGAAGAATGGAGTACATAGCATAAGGATGTTATAATTTAACAATTGTTAGGACTGGGGAATAGAAAGAATTCCACTCATTTGGTCCTGGAGGATGATAATAATGGTAAATGAACAGCCTCATGGCTGGTTTGCCTGAACACATTGTTAGTATGGGTCCGTGTTTAAAAGAAAACAGTGCAGACAAAGACACAGCAAACAAATAATTTTTTGCTCATTTCTCCTAAGTCATTTTTCATTAGAAAAGCAGGCCAAAAGGCTGCAAGCCCAATTCTGCACACATGTCTGAGAAGGAGAAAGCCTGCATATCTCTCCCTGGTGAGAAATGAAAACTCACTTAAGCAATAGACAAAGCAGAAAGCTTGGCTGCTGCAGACATGTTATTAATCAGAGCTTCTTCTAACCCTAAAAGGAGTAAATATTAGGAAATGTCAGAATAAGAATAGATGTTGATGTCTGTTCCATATTAAATAAAGAAGTTTTGAGATTTTGTCATAAGTCTAGTATTTTTAGAGACTGGCTAAGTAACAAAGGTAATCAGTGTGCATAGCACATGGGAAACCTCCCAAGTACATTTGTTTAGAAACTTGGAAATCTGGCTTTAAAACTATTTCATGAAATATATGAACTCTGTTCTCAGGTAGTACTTAAATTTTTCCAATCATCATAGTTCATGGAAATATTGCAAGACTTAACTTTTTCAGCTTCCTTCTTTTAAAACTTCTCCTCTCCTCATTATTTGTCAATATGTAGATTTTGGTGATTCTTTATAGTTTTTTTTTCCTAAAATATCAATGATTTTTAAATTTTTCTTTCTTTTTTGGGGCAGGGGGGTATACCAGGGATTGAACTCAGGGGCATTCAACAACTGAGCCATATCCCCAGCCCTATTTTGCATTTTATTTAGAGACAGGTTTCACTGAGTTCCTTAGTGCCTCACCATTGTTGAGGCTGGCTTTGAACTCGTGATCCTCCTGTCTCAGCCTCCCAAGCTGCTGGGATTATCAGGACCACATAAAAATAAATAAAGTATGGGGCTGGGGATGTGGCTCAAGCGGTAGTGCGCTCGCCTGGCATGCACGCGGCACTGGGTTCGATCCTCAGCCCCACATACAAAAAATAAAGATGTTGTGTCCGCCGAAAACTAAAGAATAAAAAATATTTAAAAATTCTCTCTCTCTCTCTCAAAATAAATAAATAAATAAAGTGTACAATTTAATGTTTAAAAAAAGATTTATTTTTATTTTCTAAGGGATATTGTTATTCATGTATTTTTTAATTCTGGTCATTTCGTTGGTTGATCACACATTCTCCCTTACTTAGACAATAATACAAGTTTAGTCTGTAGAGTGACATTCTAGAAGGTATAAATTTCACTTATGCATTTAGTTAATATTTATTTGTTTTCTTTATGGTGAGCATTGTATTATATTTAATTTATATCAGTAAATATCATGACCCTTGACCTCAGGGAACCTCTAGTCTACAGAGGGAGTTTGAATTTAAATAGCCACACAAATTATATAATGACAATAATGACAAATTCTATCAAGAAAAGAACAGAGTACCATGAAAGCATATGGCAGGGACAAATGTGGGTGATTTGGGGAATTGCAGAGGTACCTCATTGAAAAAGCAGCATTTGAACTGAGCCAGAGAATGCTTATGAATTGGTGCAGTGAAGGTGTGATAGAGAGAGGGGTTTTGAAAATGAGAAGTAGTAGACTCTGCAAAGACCTTGAGGTGGGAAGAAGTGTGGCCTGTTTTGAGAAGAGATGAAAGGCCAGATGCACGGGAGCAAGAGAGAGGGAAAGAAAGAGCTCTGTGAATGAAGAACAAATGAAGAACAGGTAGCCGAAGATCATAGTTATCCATATAGCAGTACCAGAAGGTCTAAGGAACAGACACAACAAGATTTATATTTTAGAAGTTAACTCTGATAACTGTGTTGGGAAGTTGTTCTCTAGAACAAAGCTCAGCAACTTTCTTTTCTGTCAAGTTCCAGATAGTAAGCCATGTAATGTGCAGTAATCTCTGGGTAGTGTGAAATAGTCATAGGATTTTAAATAAAAGAGTACATCAGTGTTCCAAAAAAACTTTATTTATGGATGTTGAAATTTTAATGTCGGGGCTGGGGCTGGGGCTGGGGCTGGGGCTGGGGCTCAGCCATAGCACACTTGCCTGGCATGTGTGAGGCACTGGGTTTGATTCTCAGCACCACATATAAATAAAAGTCTATCAACAACTAAAAACTAAAACTAAAAAATTTTAAAAAAAAGAAATTTGAATGTCATATGTTGTTCATGTTGGAAATAATAAGACATGTTCTTTTTATTTTTTTTAACCATTTTAAAATATGATAACCATTTTTAGCTCATAAGCCATACATAGACAGATGGTGGGCTGTATTTGGCTTTTAAGCCATTGTTTGCTGACTCATTTTGTAGATAATTCTTATTCTTTTAACTTTTTCTGTCTACCTCTTAAATGATATTTTAGTTCCACCATAACATTTTTCTTGAATTGCTTAAATTTTTCAACACTTAAGTAAAGGTAAGACCTATTATAAATGAAAAATTAGAATTTTTAGATCTTATGATCTCCTTTTCTATTTCTTTATCTTTGTGTTAGTTTTCCAATTTAAAAGTCAGTTTAATATGACTGGCCCATTCTATTTTTTTATTGATTTTTTTAAAATAAATGACAGCGAAATGCATTACAATTCTTGTTACACATATAGAGCACAATTTTTCATATCTCTGGTTGTATATAAAGTATGTTCACACCAATTTATGTCTTTATACATGTACTTTGGATAATGATGTCCATCACATTCCACCACCATTGCTAACCTCTGCCCCCTCCTTTCCCCTCCCATCCCTCTGCCCTATCTAGAGTTTCTCTATTCCTCCCTTGCTCCCCTTTCTACCCAACTATGAGTCAGTCACCTTATATCAGAGAAAACATTCGGCATTTGTTTTTTTTGGGGGGCGGGGATTGGCTAACTTCACTTAGCATTATCTTCTCCAACACCATCTATTTACCTGCAAATGCCATGATTTTATTCTCTTTTATTGCTGAGTAATATTCCATTGTATATATATACCACAATTTCTTTATCCATTCATGTACTGAAGGGCATCTAGATTGGTTCCACAGTTTAGCTATTGTGAATTGTTCTGCTAATAAACATTGATGTGTCTGTGTCCTTGTAGTATGCTGTTTCTAAGTCCTTTGGGTATAGACCTAAGAGAGGGATAGCTGGGTCAAATGGAGGTTCCATTCCCAGTTTCCCAAGAAATCTCCATACTGCTTTCCATATTGGCTGTACCAATTTGCAGTCCCACTAGCAATGTACGAGTGTACCTTTTTCCCTATGTCCTCTCCAACACTTATTGTTGTTTGTCTTCATGATAGCTGCCATTCTGACTGGAGTGAAATGAAATCTTAGAGTAGTTTTGATTTGCATTTCTCTAATTGCTAGTGATGATGAACATTTTTTCATATATTTGTTTATTGACTATATGTCCTCTTCTGAGAAGTGTCTGTTCAGGTCCTTGGCCCATTTATTGATTGGGTTATTTGGTTTTTGTGGTGTTTAGCTTTTTGAGTTCTTTATATAGCCTAGCATAAAAAGTTATTTTTTTCATATTTGATTTTCCCCTCAAATATTAAATTTGGTGCTTTCTTCCTTTGAATCTGATATTGAATTTTTCATCTTTTTTTTAGCTTAATTAGAGTTCTAAATTTTAATTCTGGCATTCTAAAGAAAAATTGGTACAGGTGTCAGACAAAGTTTAAGAAAAAAAAAAAAAAAGCACCACAATTGCTTATGACCATTTGCTGTGTGACTGGATACAGTGCTTTGTTAACATCAAGACAAACAACATCCCTGTAATTTCAGGTCTGCAAAAACAACATTTTGACTTGAAAGGTCACATGTCAGGCAGCTGCACCAAAAGATGCAGAAAGTGTTATGTAGTGGAAATAGTACAGGCAAATTTCATCTGACTATTACTGTATGAATGGCATTGGACAACTTAATTCATTTGTTGGACCCTAAGTTTTCTTAAAAGTATTCTCATTCAGCAAATAAGAATTACCATCTTTTCTCCCTTTAAGCACTGTCTTTTATCAAGTGGAAGTTGCCATGTTAAAGGCTTTGGAAGGGGAATAGCCCATACTTTGTGTTGGAGGAGATGTTATTTTAGTTTTAACGTCTTGCAGAATAATGAAGTTTAAAAAAATCAGCAGTATTCTTAGGATTGAACATTATAGTATACTCTTAAGAGATACTACAGATGATGAATGCCTCCTGTATTGTTTGTTAATGTTTCCTTTGCTTTGTTTATTTTACTTTTGAAAACTTAGGTTTGACAGTTCTCTAGAAGATCTACCCAAGAGTGAACCCCACCCACCTGCAACTCCTCAGGTGTTAAATATTGGTAGACAAGTAGCCACCCTTCTTAAAGTAGCAACTACATGTCCTAGGTAGAGTCTTCCTTCTTGGCATGTCTAAATTTCAGTGCTGGTGGTGAACCTAAATACTAAAACTGTTTGACTGAAAAAGAAAAGGTGATCATCAATTGCAGAACTAACATCTTTAACATGTAGATAAGAACACTTGGCACTTGGCCTCAGAACACTGTTTCACCCTGATTTTATATTTTGCATATATATTGTGGTTTGGTTTTAACTTCTAATATATAATCTGGAAATTGGTGTCTTTTATTGCTTTACTTGGTGATTTGCAAGGGCAACTTTTGAGATTACCATAGGTCTGCTTTTCTGAATTAGAGATTTTAACTCTAAAAGAGAGAAAGAGAGGTTGTCATATGATCCCAAGCTCTCAGACATATTCTAAGTATATTTAGGTAAATAATAGTGCTTATAAGATACTGCCAGACTCCACTGAATAAATCATTTTATATTATTATTTGTGACACAATATGATGACGTAAATTCATAAGTTTCCTTTTTTCTTCCTGGAACAGGATAATTTAGCTGATTTTTTTTTAATTTTGTTTAGTTATAGTTAGACAACTATAAAAGAGTGAACCTCACCCACCTGTGACTCCTCAGGTGTTAAATATTGGTAGACAAGTAGCCACACTTCTTAAAGTAGCAACTACATGTCCTAGGTAGTTGCCTTTATTTTATTTATTATTATGTGGTGCTGAGGATCGAACCCAGCGCCTTGCATGTGCTAGGCCAGCATTCTACCGCTGAGCCACAAGCCCAGCCCCCAGCTGATATATTTTTATATGACTTTTTATTAGCCCAAGTTTTTAGTTTTTATTATTCACCATTATTTTCCACACACAGGTAACCCTTGCCTCAAAGATGCAGAGTGATTCAAAAACTCAAAAGTTAAATCACTTGGCACAGTGTTGCACACCTGTAACCTAGCTACTCCAGAGGCCAAGGCAGAAAGATCACATATTCAAGGCCAGCCTGGGCAACTTAGGGGGGCCCTGTATCAAAACAAAAAATGGGAAGGGTTGAGGATATAGCTCAGTGGGAGAGTGTCCCTGAGTTCAGTCCCCAGTTCATCAAAAAAGTTAATTAATTAATTAAAAATTGCATCTCTTGGTAATGTCACTTAACATTCATATTACCTGACACTGCCATCGATAGCTTCTTTCCTTTCTCTCTTTTCTAGCCATTCATGACAGTTGTTAAAACCTAACCATACCTTCAGTTTAATGAATACATGCAAAAATTATACATGAATAATTCTGTATAAGTACCGTGCAGTTAACTGATAGTGCCACTGGGGCATCCAGACATGAACAGTTATGTATAATTTTTTTGGAAATAGATTGTTCCTTTAATTTTTCTTCCAATGGTTTGTAAAGTTGTATGGAACCAAGAACAACAGCTTTATCAAATATAGGGAGAAAAGATTTATGTCTGCCCTTTCAGTTTCTGATGTGTGAGCTTTCATTAACCTGTATTAAGTTTGGCATGTGCATGATTACTTTGTGTTGGATAACCACTGTCATAAACTTCTGAAAAAAGTGTTCACAGTATGGTGATGTTCTTCATTAATAAATTATACTTGAAAGAAGAGAGATAAGTTTTACACTGTGTAATTTAAATTCTCAATTGTGATTTTTTTAATATTTATTTTTTAGTTATAGGTGGACACAATATATTTTATTTCATGTGGTGCTAAGGATTGAACCCAGTGCTTCATGCATCCTAGGCGAGCACTATAACTCTGAGTCACAACCCCAGCCCTCAATTTTTATTACCAATTTTAAAACCATTGCAGTCCTAATGTTGAACGTTAATTCCTGCTCAGGTATATAACCTTGTCTAAGAGACCAAGGGAAAATAATTATTATTTTAAGTGATACAGGTTCTGAAGATGAAATTGTATACCAGTGTTTAAAAATCTTTTCAGAGCTAACTGAAAATATAAATGTGAAATTGCAGAAAAATTGATGTTTTGATCAAGTTCACTGTAACTACTGTTTATTTTTACAAAGGTGCCTGCCCTCCCTAAAGAATTCTGCTCCTGCCAGGCATGATGGCATATGCCAGTAATCCCAGCAGCTTGGAAGTCTGAGGCAGGAGGATCATGTATTCAAAGCCTAAACATCAGCAGCTTAGCATGGCCCTAAGCAATTTAGGGGACCCTATCTCTAAATAAAATATAAAAAAGGGCCGGGGATACGACTCAGTGGTTAAGCACCCCAGGGTTCAATCCTCAGTACCACAAAAAAAAAAAAAAGGAACTCTGTTCCCAATACCTTAAACAGTTATTTCTTGTTTGTGAAATTATATATTGATGCTTCTGAACAGGCAGCCAGGTGTACCTGTTTTTCCTGAAAACAGAGAAGTCTCTTTAAATTGTCATGTTATTGGTATGCATCTATAAGGTGATATTCCTGATATAAGGACTCTTTGGGAAAATCCACTTACCTTTCTCTCGCTGCTTATGGAAATTCAACTTTATGTTTAGGTTTATTTTCTACTTAGTTATTGCAAGTTAGTCTTCAATGTGTGTTAGATGGTTTTAATTTTAAATCAAACTAGAGACAGTAAACATTCAAGAGCATTCCTATGTCAAAAAACAGTTTAATGTAAGAATCTACCTGAGATTTTAATTTCTTAGAGAAATCATGGCCACAGTAAATAAATGACTCAAGCTCCTATTACACCTCTGACTTTGTGTACTTTTATAATACCTAAATATTAATATAGTGCAGTTCCTATCTTGTGTTTATTCTGCTACCTCTTCTCACTTTATTTTTGTGTTCCTATCTTTTTTCTTTTCTTACTTATCAGTTTAAGCAGCTCCACAAGATATGTAGAAGGTTCTTTGGAAGGTTCTCGAAATTTTTCCTCCTTCTCCTCTCCTGCTAGATACAGTGCTGCAGCTCTGAGCAGTGCAGCTGCTACCGTGTCTGCTGTCATTGCTGCAAAAACCAGGTAGAACTAACTGCATGTGTAGTGTCTGTCTGATGTGGCCTCGTCTGCTTCAGAGAACTGTTCATTTGGAACAGCCACAGCTCTGCTCTGAGCTCTTCATGGTACAGTGGATGTTTTATCTGAGTTGTGGGTAAAGCCCATGGTATTTGTTAGCATTGTTTGAAAAAATCATCTTTTTATCTCTTTCCATTGCTACTGTTTATGTATGATATTTCTCACTTGTCATGTACTTGTTGACTTTAGGGTGTTTACAATTTTCATTTTTTATATTTGAAACAGAATGAAATGTGACATAAGTTTTTATTGATGTTTCTTCTCCCCAAACCATTGGGGGGTGAATGAAAGCCTAACAACTTTTCAAAGCACCCCTTCCTCCTCCCACCCTAAAAAGGTAAAAAATTTTTGTATGATTTTGTTATGTTCTATTTTTATATAATTTCTGTAGTCTTCATAGTGTAAATGCTTTCTAAAAGATTGTCTTGCCAGGTGTGGCGGCACACAATGGCTTGGAAGGCTAAGGCAGAAGGATCTCAAGTTCAAGGCCAGCCTCAGTAATTTATCGAGGCCCTAAGAAACTTAGTGAGACTCTGTCTCAAAATAAAAAAATTAAAAGGGCTGGGATAAAAGGAGCTCAGGGTTTAAGTACCCTTGGAATCAATCCCGGATACCCCCTCAACTTTTTTTTAATAATAAAATAAAAAATAAAAGATTGTTATGCTCGATTTTGGTGAAAACGTATTTAATTTTATATTAATGAGTAAGAGCATTCATGGCCCTTCCTTTATGCTCTCACTGCTTAGTGCTTCCTTTCCCTCTTTCTCCTCCACTCACTTACTCTCAAAGGAAATATTTTAGATCATAGACCTAAAAAAACTACTTTTTGCTCTTGGTAGTGCAATTTTTTAACTTAAAAATCTTTCTAAATGCTTGCCAGGCTCTCCAGTCCTGAAAACTATTGCTCTCTGCTGGATGCACTTTGCATCAGCCCTGTTTTCAAGCCTCTAGCTTTTTCCCATCTCCAGTCCTGCAGGAGATCCACCAGCTCTGTCCATGTTAAGCAAACAAGGTACTGTGGGAGTGGATTTGGCAATTGGTGTTTTGCTGGTAAAGACACTACTTTCCCCGACACTTAACCACCACATTAACAGACTAAATGAGAAAACCCCTGACCTGATTTGTAGCCAAATTTGAATTAACTGTAATTTCGATGTAGTGCTAATACACAGGCATGTTATTTTGTATGACTATTAACTCATCTTTTAATCGTTTGTGACATCTTTCATTAGTACACTTGATATTTGCTTATGAAATTATGAATAATTGTGATGGTACTTATATTATGGTGGAATCCTGTCTTTTATTGCATGGACATAACTGTATTAGAATAATCTAATGTTTAATAAGACATACCTTTTGAAAAAAAAATAACAATTTGATTTTAATTGGCCACTATCTTATTAGTTCTTAAACATGAAGGTTTTCCTTGAAAAAGCAACTTAATTTTCACCATATCTGGGAAATGCTGTGTAAGTCAGTTTTACAGCTCTATGATAAGTATCTGAGATAAACACTTATTAGGAGAAGTTTATTTTATTTCATGGTCTCAGAGATTCTAGTTTATGGTGGGCTGGCTTCATGGAGTTGGGGCCTGTGGTGAGGCAGAACATCACAGTGGGATGTGCATGGCAATAGAAACTCCTCAACAAATGGCAGCAGGAAACTTGAGAGGAGAGAGAGAGAGAGAGAGAGAGAGAGAGAGAGAGAGAGAGAGAGAGAGAGAGAGAGGGAGGGAAAGAAAGAGAAAGGACTCACAGTGAACTAACTTCCTTCCACTCGGCCCCCCTACATGTTGTGCCACCTCCCAAAATGTTCTCAATTTGTAACTGAACTTATTTGTTGTAATAGTTAAACAAATATGAGAAAAGAATATAAACTCAAGATAAATCAGATTGCTGACACTGAAAGTTAACTTTTATTCCTTTTTCTTTTTTCCTCACTGGCTCAGTTTTGAAAAGAATCCTTTGCTTTCTCTATTAGTATATTTTTCTCCATTTTCAGTTTTGGAATCAAAAACTGTACTTTAGAACTCATAATATAATTTATTATTTCATTTAAGTTTTTGATTTTTTGGCAGACTAGTTAAAATGACCATATTTAATTCTTAGTATCTGTGATATTAACCAAAAATATTTATGAAATTTATACTGATTTTCTTACTAGAATCCTTTAGAAAGAATTTTATTTTGCATAGAAGTTGGTGCACCTTAAATAATTTAAATTTTGAAAAAAATATATTTGAATCATGAGTTCAGAAATAAGATAGCAATCTAGGTAACAATGCCATACTCCATTAACAAATTAGTTACTAAGTTTAGGCTGTTTTGCTACCAGTGGTTACTAACATTTGCCTCCCAAATAAAACAGTATTGCCAATACTGTCCTAATTATTCTTTCATCTATAGCACACCATACCTAATATTTATGTATTTTCTTTAAATAGCAGGCAGTAGTTAAAAATTAGAAAAAAGACATGGTAAATTTTTAAAGTGAGGCACCATATATTTAGATATGTGATGAGTGACAGATAAAGTCTAATATTAATAAAGACAAAGTCTAAGATTCATCCATTACTATGCTAAATGTTTTAACTAATTAGGGATCTGTTTCTCCAAAAGAAAGTCAACCTCTCATTAATTGTGAATTTAAACATAAACTTTTTTGCTTATAACCTGTACTTTTATGGATTCTTTATAATCTACTTTAAGCCCTTTATAGCTAAAGAATATAGATTTAAACATCTCAGGCCTATTGGGAGAGAATATATACCAATTTATGTACAAAGGATATAACCAAAATTAAAATATTTTTAAGCTTATGTGATTACTTATCCCATGGGAATTTTAGAAAATATCATGTTATTTAAAATTGAATTGAGGAAGCAAAATTGTGTCTGGGATCAAGATCCTAGATTTAAAACTATCCACAGACTACATTTAGAAGCAGAATTGTTACACGAGGAGTGTTAATTTAGTAAATGTATTTATCACTAATCTTGTTACCACTGAACTAGACAGGTATTTCAGGATGTAGAAATAATAGTCCCTCATTTTTGGAGCATAGACTGTGCATTGGACATTGTGCCAATAAGCACTTGATGTTTATTATTTAGTATTTTATTTAATTACGGTAACCTTGGAATAAAGATAGTATTTTAATAACATTTTACAGATGAGGAAATTTACTAGTATTAAGTAATATGCCCAAAGTCGCAAAAAAGCCCCTAACCTCAGGTAGTTTATAAGTAAGGGAGGAGACAAGATACATAAGGAAGTTATTGTTAATGATAATTTTTAAAACATCTTTTACAAATCAATGTAAAATTATATGTCATACGGTTAATAAATGCCATGAATTAAAAGGAGTGTCTCTACCTCTAGAAACTTGAGTGTTAAATAATACATTAATTGCTTAATATGGAGCACTTAATATAAGTGCAAGATGGGTGTTATTATTCTATTTATTATAAATAGAATTTCTATGGATACCGAGGGGTGGGAGAAGTACCTACTGTGTATAATGCCTGGAAAATGTAAAATTTGGGGCAGAGAATGGAGATGGCCAGAATACAGTTTCTGTGACAGAGAGATAGTTATGATTGGGCAGATCAATTGTCACTTTGCCTAGAAGGCTTTGAATGCCAAGCTGAGCTGTAACTTAGCCCTCTGCCTTCTTAATGGTCCATCTGTTCCTTTTTAATGGTTCCATGCTCTGCTTACATACTTTCTGGTGACAGGGCTCTCATGAAAGGCACCCTTAGTAACAAATGTTTTCCTTTGGGTAATTTTACATATTAGGAAGTACTTCCTTTTATCAAACCAAATCTATTCAACTGTAGATTTGACTCACTGGCATTAGGCAAAGAGAAGGTAGCTGCATAGAGTGAATCCACATGGTAGATACGAGGATTGTGCTCATGCTTCTCTTGAGTTTTTTTAATACCCTGGGCCAGTATTACCAATCCTCACAACCAGAATCCATTAGACTTGGCTTTGAATTCCTATTATCCTGGTTACTCTCTTCTAAGAAAGTTTGGCAACTCTCCTGGAATTAAATTCTGATTTCTTCATATAACATTAAAACTGTTATTTTCAGTTTGTAACTTTTGTTTCATTTATAATTTCTAGTATTGCTTGGTCATAAATTTTTTCCTTGGAACTATGACTATTTAGATTATTAGGGTTTTTTATTTTGTCAAATCCAAATGAATAATTTATTCCTAGAATGAAAATTACTTCTGTTGTATGTTTCAGAAATTATTTAGTTATGGTCTGGGGATGTAGCTGTGTGGTAGAATGTTTGCCTAGCAAGTATAAAGCCCTGAGTCAATCCAGCACCACACATACACATGTAAAATTATTTTATAAAAATATTGAAAATAAGTCTTAATTGTATTATTTGAATACATTAATTATCCTTTTCATGTGTTAATCCCACATTCTGTGCCTTAGAGGTGGCTAAATACTTTTATATAATTATCCCATTTAAGCCTCATGGAAATCTTTTTTAATGATTTTTGGTATACTATAATTACACATAATAGTGGGATTCATTGTGACTTATTTGTGCATGCAAATAACATGATTTGATCACTGTATTCCAAAGTACCTCCCCTTTTTCTCCCCTTTCTCCCCTGATCTCCTTCCGATACTCTGTTCGTCTCCCTTTCTTTCTTTTTTTTTTTTAATTAGTGAACTGTAATTAAACATAAAAGTGGGATTCATTGTGGTAAATTTGTACATGGACAGCAAAGTCTCATGGGAATCTAGCCAGCAAGGTACTATCCTCATTTGAAGTGTACGAAACTGAGGCTTGGAGAAGAAAAATAATTTATCACAAAACTTTTAAAAGGTGTCAATTTAACAACTAATCAATGATGTTTTTGCTTCTTTCCATTAATGCTTTTTATGTTGCCTTTACTGATAATAGTGTTCAACTTTCCCATTAAGAGTATAATTTTAGACTTTTTTTTTTTAGAGAGAGAGAGAGAATTTTAATATTTATTTTTTAGTTTTCGGAGGACACAACATCCTTATTTGCATGTGGTGCTGAGGATCGAACCCAGCGCCGCACGCATGCCAGGCGAGCACGCTACTGCTTGAGCCACATCCCCAGCCCCAAAGACTTTTTATGTATGATAAAAATCAAAGTGCTAGGTGTAATGATGCATACCTATAATCTCAGCAACTAAGGAGGCTGAGGCAGGAGGATCACAAATTCAAGGCCAGCCTGAGCAGCTTAGCAAGATCCAGCCTCAAAATTTAAAAAAACATGAAAAAGAGCTGGGGATGTAGCTCAGTGGTAGAGTGTCACTGGGTTCAATCCCTAGTACAAAAAAAAAAAAAGTACTGTAAGTTTTTCATTGTATAGTCTATTTTAACGGCAAGCATGTTCAAGTTTCTCATTAACCTGATCAGAAATAGTCAAAGATGATGGCTCTGACTCTGTTACACTAGAATTTGCAAGCACAAGAGTAAGCACAAGAGTTAAGGGTGGTGGGAAATGAGTTCAATGGAATTATGTTATGTCCATGTACAAATATGGCATAATGAATCCTGCTATTATGTATAATTATAATGCACCAATTAAAAAGAATACGGTACAATATTTCAAGAAAGTTAAAGTATCTTTAATATGATTTTTCAAAATTGTTTAATATCAGAAGTGCCCCTGGACTACCCCGGGTTTCATGTTTTACTAGAAGGACCTACACAACTCAGTATATAGTTAAACTCATGACTAAGATTTACTATAGCAAAAGAATACAAAACAAAATCAATAAAGGAAAAAGGTGCATGGGACACGCCTGTAAGAAATAAGGCTCAGGTTTCCAAGAGTCTTCTCCCAGTGGAGTCTTGTGGGACGTCCTTAATTCCTTCAATAAGGAGTTGTGGCAAACTGCACCAAGTGTTATCTACAAGATAAGCCGGTCAGAGTCTAAGTACCTAAGGTTTTTAGTAATTGCTTGTTATACGCATCAGAATTCCAAAGTCTCAGAAAGAAAGTATCTATATGGTATAGATTGTTTTTAATTAAAAAAAAAAATGTTGAGGCATGGTAAGCCACTGTTGTCTTTGAGAGAAAGTTTTATTTCACTGTTGGGGACAGTTTACCAGTCAAGCTCCTATATGCCTAAGGTTAGGCAGTCACATATCTGCTGCATTAGGTGTCAGGAGAGATTCAAGAGGAATTGGGCAAATTAGATGCCAGAAGGGTTCATTTGGTAGTATAGTACACATAATTGAATTTGAAAATTCTTTTTATTGAAGTAATCTTTACTTAAATCTTTACTTATAATTTGAGGATATTTATTTTACTAAAGACATTAATATAGTACCTTATCTTTATAAGTCTTTTCTTCCAGCTATCAGTTTCAGTTAGTGAAGGAAGAGAGTTTCTGTGCATAGATTTATTAAGCTACCAGTACTGAAAAGTTTAGCTGTAGGAAGTATTGTTTTGTTATTATTATTATATTTCATTTTAGAAAAATAACCACTATCATATTTTGTCATTTCAAAGCCTGTATTTTATAGTTTGGGCCACCTCAAATTGCTACTTCCTTTGGAGATGTTCTATGTAAAATTGTAAATAAAAAGTGATAATAAAAGTCATATGATTTTCTAAACCAAACCGGAACCAGCAGAGATAAGGTTTCTGTTAAGCATATAACTCTGGTTAAGAGAAAATAATGGTAGGCTAGAATCTTTTCTTCTTAGTGTTAGGAATCCAGAATACAGGACATATCATGTTAGGCAGGGTATGTTGCTTCTTGTTTATTCCTGTATGCATGGTGTAACATCTGGCAGTAGAGTAGGGTTTAGGTTTTACTGAATGAGTGAGCGTGCAAGTGAAAATAGTAACTGGTGAGGTATCAGGAAACAGTTCATAAAATACCAGAAGAATGTGCAGAAGGGGAAACATGGATGCCATTCCATAGAGCTTATGAGGGGCTCTCCAGTAATGTATTATTTTAATATAGATGGTTTTTCTGAAATGTTGAGATGGGCAATTCCTATCATTTAAAGAAATTGGTTCTATGTTTTTCAATAGCCCACTCTCTCATGGTAAACCTTTTAAAGAGAGTTCCCAAAGAAAAAAAAAAAAAAAGCCACTTCTTTTTCTTTACATTTTTTTTTCTGTTTCAAAGAGAAGCAATCCCTGTTGTGATTTTAGAACTTTTTAAATTGATTAATATTTTGTTTTCCTTAAACATTCAATAGATTTGGAAAAGAAAGGGTCATTGCTCATTAGATTGCTATGCTCTCACCAAAACCGTTTCCTGCTTTCCTTTACAGTAATTCTCAGGAGCCTTCTCAGCAATTGGCTTCATCAGCAGCTTCAACTCGGAGCATGCCGGAGACTCTGGAAAGCCCGAGCTCCAGCAGGCCAGGGGTGGCCAGCCTCACAACTGCTGCTGCCTTCAAGCCCGTAGGATCCACCAATGTCATCAAGTCACCAAGCTGGCAACGGCCAAACCAAGCAGGTATTTCAGAGAAATCTCTTCTTCCTTGCTTTTCTTAGTGAGTGTAATTAGAAAAATGTGTGCTGGGATCATGTTAAAATTTGCTAGTGAATCCTGTTCTCAACCATCTAAGCTTCAGAAAGGACAATAAAGAACAACTGTAGCTATTTGTTCTGTGAAGTGTCTCATAAATATTTTCTGTATAATAAACTTGCCCTTTGCTATTCATATTATAGAATTGGGCATTCTCTGTTTCCCAGATTACTCATGAAACATGTTTTGAATTGTAAATTTAGCATATTATTTGATAACCAGTTATATTGCTTAAAAATGTAGCATTTTGGTTTTAATGATATATACAAATAACAGAAGCATCAATAACTATGAAACAGTTATTGAAGAAAGGATCTTTTACTTCCTGTTCTCTGGATAATTATGAAGAAGAATAATTATGACATAATACTAGAAAGAGAATATTTGAATGGTAGGATGGAATACCTTGGGCACAACCTGGAAAGCTGAATTCTCATTTACTTCTACAGATGGTAGCTTTAAGTAAAATCATTTAATCTCTTAGACCCTCAGTTTTCTGATGTAAAAAGTGAAGGGACTCTAAAGCATTTCCTTTTCCTCACAAGACGAACAAAGTTTATCATCATATATGCCTCCGTTAACAGGAAGTTGCAGTTCTGCTTGAAAGTTGCTAATCCCAACCCCAGCTTCATCTCTTTTCACTCTCCATGTTTATTTGTTATCTAGCTATTGATGATTTGCCATCCTTTCTCTGCTGAACTCCATGTCCTCAAACCTATTTGCTGTCCCCTGGTGGCACCTTAAATGCCACATGTCTGAAACTATTATTTTCCATCTCAGTCACCAAAACTAGAACGTAAACTTGATAACTGCCTTCCACCCCATACTCGCGATAACTAATATCAAATGATTCTTTTTAATATTTCTCAATTTTTTTCTGTCATCAAAGCCTTGCCTTGTTTCAGAACCTTGTCATCATTATTTATACAGATTATTTCACAGTGGCATATGTTACATGTTGCCAATTTTACAAAGCTAGAGGTACAGTCATCCTTCAGTATCCAAGTTGTCCCTCAGTGTCCATGATTCCCTGACTCTTTGCAGATACCAAAATCTGCAGATACTCAGGTGCCTTATTTGAAATGACTTGGTATTCACATATTACCTTCTTACATTCTCCTGCATACTTAAATCATCTCTAACTTAATGACTGGAGGGGAAAAAGAAATACCTGTTTAGAAAACACATTTTTTTTCTTTCAAATATTTCCAGTCTGCTGTTGGTTGAACCCATCAGTGTGGAACTGCAGATATGGAGCTCTGAATATATTGGTGTTGGGGGAGAGAGACAGGATAAGACATTATGTAAGATCTAGACCATCTTAAAGAAAAGATTGTTTTATTACATTTGAAAACATAAAATGTTCAGACTAGTATTATTTGCCTCTGAAATTTCTGAACTATCGAGATAGCAAGACCTATTGGGGAGAAAATGCTAGCAAAGCTCAGCCACTTTGAGTTATTTCCGTTTACTGAAAGCCTTTGTATGATGATGGAGATTCACTATAATTATTTTGTATGTGCATTTAATGTGAAAAGTAACTTTCAGAAAAATTCCTTTGGTATGTGTGGTATTTGAAAGCTACCAGAATAATGTTTTGTAAAACAGCAAGGAAAAGACCATATATCTGAGGTTGAACTGAAGGGAGGGCAGAAAGTTTATGTGTACCACAGAACAGAAGTATATGTACTGCTTTTGGAATGAAATTATGGCATTTGCTGGTAAATGGATGGAAATGGAGAATACCATGCTAAGTGAAATATGCCAAATTCAAAGGTCGAATGTTTTTTTCTAATATGCAGAAGCTAGAGTATAATAAAAGAAAGGGAGACCGGAGAATAGGATAACATAAAGATAAAGGAAAGATCAGTAATGTAGGAGTTCAAGAGGCTGAGTGGAGGGATGGGTAAGGGGAGGAAAGAGGATTAATTTTTAGAAAATTATGTTGTATGCATGTATAAATGTATATCAGGTAACCTTGCCTCTATACATAGGTAAAAAGAACCAATCAAATATAAATTAATAGGCCAGTAAAAGGAAGTCTGGTAGAGTAGAGGAAAACGAATGGGAGAGGGGAGGGAGGACAAGAAGGAAAAGTGAGAGGGAAAATCTGGGGGTATCATGAACTGAAATAGAATTTGGTTCAATTTCATAAAAGAAAATATATGTACTGCTTTTGAAAGTTCAGGAATTTATGATCAAAATAACTGCTATGATTCTTTAAAAGAAATCTATTGATATGGAATTCCAGGGGAATACAGTACAACAAAATTACCACAAGAGGGCGACAGAATCCTTTCTTCTCTTAATCTAATTTAATTTTCTTTAATAATCAAAGCAGACAAATCACAGCAACTGCAATCATGATTCATAAGATTAGTATTTGAAATATTTTGCTTTTTTCCAGAAAACCTAAGTAAATTTAACGTGAGCAAAATTATAACAGTATAAAACATTATATATTATATAAGATTATGTAACAATTTTATGAAAAGAAAATGTTTCCCATTGTGAAGTCATAGTTGAATTACATCATAATCCTTAGCTCAAGTCAGAAAATATTTCTTGAGCTTCTTCTCTTTATCTTGTTCTAGGTGCTGGAAATAGTTCTTAATAAGTTGTTATATTAATTATTTGTATTATTTTGTAAAATATTTTTAAGGACACAAAATTCCCAGCCTCTCAAGCTCTTTTATTCTACCTACCCAGAAGTATACCATATTTTTAAAAATAAACAACACCTCAAAATCTATTCTGACTTAGCCTTTGCTAGTCTTAGAGCTTCCTAACACAAGTTTAAAGTTCTTTGATTTAGAGGAGGATCGCTGTCTCCTTGTGGGATCTTGTGCACCTCACAGTTCACCTCTGTAAAGGGTGCCAAGCAAAGGCTAAAAAAGTGAGTGACTGGGCTAGGGCAGGGCCAAATAAAGCAAGAAGGCAAGTGGCAAGTTTCTTTCACATGGAGAATGGCAGACTTCTTTCTTTTGCTAATTGATGGCTGTCCTCTAGTGTCAAGGAGAAAGGGAAAAAAGATCGGATTCTTTTCCCTGCCCCAACCCTGACAGATTACCAAAAACTATTACCACTGAATCATTTTAAGATAATTTCTACAAATTGGACACACACCTGTAATCCCAGGAACTCAGAAGGCTGAGGCAGGAGGATCATAAATTCAAGGCCAACCTTAGCAACTTAGCCAGGCCCTATCTCAAAATAGGAAATAAAAAGGACTGGGTGTGAAACTCAGAATAGAGCATCCTTGGATTCGATCCCTAGTACCAAAATAAATAAATTAATTAATTCCTCCAGGTGGATGGGAGAGAGGGGATCAAAAATTACTAATTATAGTCTGTGATCCACTTGGTTCATTGTAAAATCAGTTTAATGGATTGTTACCAGCATTCGTTTTTATTTTTTATTTTTATTGATACAAATATTTGTACATCTTTATGGGGTATACTGTGATGATTCAATACATGTATATAGTGTGTAATGATGAAATCAGGGTAATAAGCACTTCTGTCTCTTCAAACACTAATTATTTTTACGTGTTGGAAATTTTGTACTCTCCTATGTAGCCAGCATTTTAAAAAAATAAAATAGCATGGAATAGAAAATACCAGAATATTTTAATGTATTATTTTTAACATTCTGAATTTATGAAAATCTGGTTTTAGTGTATTTACATAAACATGTGAATCCACACATGCACACACATACAGATATGTTTTGGGACAAAAAGTAAAGCGTTTTTCTTACTGTGTTTTACATTTTAAAAAATAGTTTAAAGTTACCAGTTTTAAGAAGTATCTTAGTCATACTTTTGTTTATTGAGTGGTGACTTATATCATTTTGAAAACAATGAGACAAAACAAAAAAGACTGCATTGAAAGGCTTGATTAAAATTTTAAGACCTAGGGGCTGGGATTGTGGCTCAGCGGTAGAGCGCTCGCCTAGCACAGGCAGGACCCCGGTTCGATCCTCAGCACCACATAAAAATAAAGGCATTGTGTTGTGTCCATCTACACCTAAAAAAATAAATATTAAAAAAAATTAAGACCTACCACTGCATTATGAGCCTGTCGTAGGTTTCTGTTACATCCACAGAAATTCTGACTTTCAATCTTAGATCATTTCACTCATGGTGTTACATTGCCTGTGGTAGGCAGAAATCTTTCAAAAACACTGTAATGCTAAACCAGTTGATAACTAGAAACTAGGTGTTATGGATCAGTATTGTAGTTTAGATTGGATGATCTGCTTTTTCTCAGGAGTATAGTTTAACATACACCTCCCCACCCCGACACAGACACAATCATGCTTACCAGTGACTCACAAAAAGCTAAATATTTTAGGATGCCAAGTGTTCAAAAATTCATAGTCTTGATGAAAATAGTAAGATACAGGAGAAGTAAGAATCCAAGCCTGAGCTTCATGTCAGCTAGGAAACTCCTACCTCTTTACCCTGTGTCTTTGGCAACACTACTAACGTGAATAAGATGTGATAGTCCCTTTAGAAACATTGACTTGAAACTAGAAAAATATATCAAAGGTGAGATTTTTCTTGTTACTTTTCAAAATTGAGCATTTGTACTTTTGTAAACATATTTAAATTTATTATATTTGTTTCTATTAAAATTTTATGTAAGAAAGCTTCATGTTGTATATAGTTGTATATATGCTGTACATAGTTATTGAGAGGTTCAATATATTTTCAAAACCTTTGTAAATTTAGTGGTAAAATTTGAAAATATGTTTCTGTGTTTATATAGGTGAACTAACTTGCTCTGTAATGCTATTCCTAGAGTCTATGGATACCAGATTAGGTAAATTTAGATCATTGGATGTAAACATATATATAAAATATTACCAACGTAGTCAAATGTTTTTCATAAATCCAGTCTTAGTCACAAAGAGCCACTATGTGT